TTTGGACATTTCAGAAGGCGCTTTGCCAGACCAGAACATTATGGTATTTGAGCATCTTTGCGCGTAAATGCATCACGCGACAGTTTACTGAGTAGAGCAATACCTCGTTCACCAGAAATAGTGTTTCAAAAGCCAATGCTATTCGTGCACCGTCGTAACTACGTGAGAAGTATGGCTTCATTCACCAAAAATATGTCAGTTAGGTACATTTCATTGTGGCAACACTCTGCGCATAACTGCCATATGGACGGTCTGATTATTGCACCTACCCATGGTCTATCTTTCTTTCCCCTCTTTGTCCTTGAACGCTAAGTTAAGCCCTAGTTACGTTGAGATACAGATTTTGGCCTTAACGTATTATGAAATGATGGTTCGCTTTAGCAGTTGTTCAGACGGCACTCACCATGGCTTCCGAGATGAAGCCGAATTCATTATGCTTGGCTTCTCATTGCTTTGAATCATCTTCATTTCCCTGCGCATCCCATTCAGTTGTAGATTCCGCCTCAAACTTCCCACTATGCCAAGCACGGTCTCTACTTTTTCATGGATATGTAAATGTGTGTATAACATTGCACAGATGAGTCAAAGCGATCAAGTAACAAATCATGTGTGTGTGTTGCAAAACCATTGCTGGACTGCAAAGATATTAGAATTGGTTTCAAGGTACAGTAAACCTGTGCGATCACTAGTGACTTCCATTTTAATGCTATAGTAATCCGTGATTATCTGCCCTTCGACTTGACCTTGTTCGTAAGCACCTCACTCAAATCATTTCCTCGCTTACGCGCTTTCTGACGAATGAATTTTCGACAGTCCATTCGGAATGCCAACCCTGGTTAACTGCAGCTGATAACTCCCCAATATCAGTTGAAGTGGGACACTGTGAGGTTTCTGTCAAGACAGATATCATTAGCCATTGGCTTCACAGTCTGCTAGGGCTGGTTCCTACGCCACTTTCACTTACGTGATCCTTTAGGCTGCAGTTGTATCGTGCGCGAATTTCTCGTGAAGGATGTACAATCTGTCTGTTTCAGGTAGAGCGCCTGGTGATCGTCACTGAGCAGAAGCTTCAAATACACGGTCGTGGTAACTTTCCGACTTTGGAAGTGTGTGTCAAGGATTTGATACGACTGGTAAAGAGTCGTCTGGTCGAGTCAGGCGTTAACGTTGCGGCGATCAAGATGAACGGAGGCGCGGCCAGCTATGTGCTGGCCAACCGGGAGCTACCATTCAACGACATCGACCTGATTTTCTCAGTGGAGCTGTCTGCGGTCAAGAAGTTTGAAATCGTCAAAAATGTTGTGTTTGAGTGTCTGCTCGAGTTCCTACCCGACGGCACGAACCGAGAACGTATCACGCCATCGGCCATGAAGGATGCGTACGTGCGTAAAATGGTGAAGGTGAACGAGGAGGACGTCTGGTCGTTGATTTCGTTGAACAACGACTCGGGCCGCTTCCTGGAGCTGAAGTTCGTCGACCGGATGCGACGCCAGTTCGAGTTTAGCGTCGACTCATTCCAGATCCAGCTCAACGCACTGCTGTCGCTGAGCGAGCAGCAGCATCAGGGCGCCTCAACGGTGACCACGTCTCCCGCTTCGGCCTCGGTTGACCAGCGGATACGCGTTTTGCCGGATTCGTACCCGACAATTCTGGCCGAAAGCATGTATGGCGACTTCAGGACTGCACTACGCCATCTGAACGAAATGCTTATCGACACGAAGGCGCCGGAGCTGATCCGGGGCGGTGGCCTGTTGAAGTACTGTCAGCTACTGGTTCGCGGCTATCGGCCGGTGTCGCCGGTCAACCGGTGGCGGCAGGTCGAGCGATACATGTGTAGTCGGTTCTTCATCGACTTCTCGACCGTTCAAGAACAGCAGCGGAAGTTGCAATCCTATTTGGACAATCACTTTCAGGGCGACTGGAAAATGAAGTACGACTATTTGCTGATGCTGTTCCGAATCGTCGACGAGAGCACCGTTTGCCTGATGAACCACGAGCTGCGGCTGACGCTGACAATGATCGACCAGATGGCGTTGCACGTCAG